GGAAGAAAACATTGGAGTAGACCCACATGTGTGATCTATGGTAGTGGTGTGAGTAAATTGCATCTACTCCTCTTGAAACCTTTAGCAGCTGGAGCAGTCTGGACACTACCGCAGGGAATTCCTCTCCATGCTGCCCCATGGCAATAATCCTTCCTCACCTTTACAAAACACTTCATGTTCATATAATGGGGTGTCTCTCTCCAACTTGCGAGGTAAGCAGGTCAGGGACTGTTCTTCCCTTTAGCAGATGGGCACACCTGGGCTCAGGAAACTGACATTTATGGAGCTTCTGCCATGTGCTGGGCACCTTCACAGGCATTCACTCCGGGAATGCTTCCTGTGCTTCCCTGCAGCAGCCAGGACTTTTGTGCCTTGGCATGAAATCCTGCACAGCAGTGGAGCGTACATAACCAAGAAACAACTCCAAGATGACACAGACTTGGAGCCAGAAGGGCCTGTGGAGATCATCCTTCAACCCCTACAGTGTATAGATGGGGGGAAATGAAGGCCCAGAGAGGGGAAGAGACTTGCCTAAGAGCACCAAGCAAATCCATGGTTCAGCCACTCTGATGGGGGAGTTACGTTCTCCGCAAGGCCCTCTTGCTGCCACAAAGATCAGCCCACATAGTTCCAGGTTCTCCCTTCAGGGGACCTCTGGGATAATAAAGTCATAGATGTGGGGATGAAACAAAAATCTGGGAACCCATTGTCCAGATTCCAAAGTTCCTGAGGCCTTGGTGAGATACTTTGCAAATGCCCCGGGGATGTGGTTTTCACCTGGGGTGGCACAGCCTGCTCCTAGGGACGGATAAACATCCTGCCATGTGGGCAAAGAATTATCCCACCCCAGATGCCGTGGCTGTGCCTCTTGCTCTCCTGGTTTCCTCCTAAGTGTGTGTATGGGATGCAGATGGGACACCTCCAACATTCTCCCCGGTACGCCTGTCCTTCCCCAGGTGAACTTACCCTTCCACCAGCAGGGTTCTCCCCCCAGACTCTCAGGTACTAACATGCAGGTGCCCTGTGGATTCTAGTGAGAGTCACCATCTCAGAGCCTTCTGGTCTGGTGACCAGAGAAACCTCTGTTCACCCTAAGAACAGACCTCATGGGCCATTTCCTCCTTTTTTAACTGAATGTGAAACTGTGCTGTCTGTACGTTTGTGTACCTATCCTTTGTGTGACTGTGTATAACCATATACGTGTCTGTGTCTATCTCTTATTTACCATGTTTACATAAAAATATTTTCTGATTTATGTATGTGAACATGTGCATTTTCTGCATATTTCTGTGTTGTGTGTGTGTGAATGAGTGTTCGTCCTGCACAACCGTGCTCTGTTTGCGAGTAAACGTGTGATAGTTTATTTATTTATCTGACAGAAAGAGAGCAGCTTATCTTGAGGATTACAGGAGGCAAGCAAGGAAAAAAAACCCAGCCCTGTGTTGCTCTGTTTGAAAAACTGCTCCGTGTTGTTATGGCAGCTAATTTTCCTTAAATGATTTAAGGAAACGGATCTGTCTAAAAGAGCTGCAGCCAAGTTGTTATAGCAACACAGGCCTTTCTCCTCTAGGAAAAGGCAGGGAATCACCCCAGAACATAGAGACTTCTCAACAAAGCAGCCCTGGGCTCTGAGGGACTCAGGGGGGCCGAGGAGAGGGCAGGAGGGGACGCATTCACCTCCCATGTCCGTTCCTGGGCATCCTTCTTGGCAGCAGCCCTGGCCACGCTCAAGTTCGGGTCTCATCGTCTTTCACCTGCACCCCTGCCATCACTGCCTATTGGGCACTCTTTCTTCTGCTTAGTCTCCACGTTGCAGACCTAGTCACTTTCTAAAGCATCTATCATTCAACAGAATATTCTCTCTGGCGCCGTGTTCTGCGCTCCGCCCTGGATACACATAGGGCACGTCCTTGAATAGCACGTCAGGGACGTTGGCCTTTATCCCACAAATAATGGGGAGTCACTGGAAGGTTTTAAGCAGGGGAGAGAGCCTCAGGTGGATGTCTCTAGGGTTTCTAGATTGGGGACTGAATGGACTATCTCGTCATCGATCTCCCTCCCTCACTCAAGCGGTTTTGATGGCTCTTCAGTGATGGTACTGATTCTCAAGATTGAGAGAGCTTGTGTGCCACAATATTCCCGACAAGCAGCATTTTGTTCCACTGCCTTAATTTTTTTTACAGTTATTATACTTCAATTAAAGATCAGATTAGAAAAGGGCCTAAGACTTTGATTTTAATGAGAAGAGAGCATCGGACCACAGGAGGAAGCCACCTTCCTTGCCAATGAGCTTCCTCACAGCTGCCCTGTTGTATATGCTGCATACCCACCCCAGCAGCTGAGCTCTTCCGCCTCCATTCTGTGGCTCGGCTTGCCCTGGAAAGCCCTCCCCCCTTTCCCTGTCACCTCCCTCGTCCCTAAACCATAGCCACCTGATAAAATATTTCCCATTCCTAAAGGTGCAGTCCAAATTCCTTGAAAAAACTTCCTTGGATCCCCCTGGGGATGCAAGCACCGAGCGCGTGTGCGCACACACACACACACACACACACACACACAATTCTGTGGCTCGGCTTGCCCTGGAAAGCCCTCCCCCCTTTCCCTGTCACCTCCCTCGTCCCTAAACCATAGCCACCTGATAAAATATTTCCCATTCCTTGCAGTGCAGTCCAAATTCCTTGAAAAAACTTCCTTGGATCCCCCTGGGGATGCAAGCACCGAGCGCGTGTGCGCACACACACACAACACACACACACACACACACACACACACAACAATGCTCACAGATATAGACCCTGCCCAACAGCAAGGGTCTTTCTGATTCTCTGCTTGCTGATCCTGTGAGCAGAAGGCCACCAGGATGGAAGGTGTGAGGCTGTGAGCTTTTAGAAACAAGGTCAGAAGCTGTCCTGGCAGTTTAGATAGCTCTGGGGTTGAGCGATTCTGATGATGTCTGTGACTGGTGAAGGTCCAGGGTAGAAACGCAGTTAACGCTATTAGGGCAGATGCCTGGGGGCACTGCGGTGTTTACAGCTGGGCACATTGACTCTCCAAGTCAAATGTGAATTTGAATGGGATACAAATAATGTTTGTTGAGGATCTGGTACACACCCGGTATTGTGTTAGGTGCTTTCACATAGCTTTTTTTTTAAACACCTCTGATGTTTCTTCCTTTAAAAAAAATTTTTTTAATTTATTTATTTTGGCTGCACCAGGTCTTAGTTGCGGCACATGGGATCTTCGCTGCAGCCTGTGGGATCTTTAGTTGTGGCATGCAGACTCTTAGTTGCGGCATGCAGCCTTATTAGTTGCAGCATGAGAACTCTTAGTTGTGGCATGCATGTGGGATCTAGTTCCCTGACCAGGGATCGAACCCGAGCCCCCTGCATTGGGAGAACGGAGTCTTACCCACTGCACCACCAGGGAAGTCCCTCACATAGCTTTTAGGTAGAGAGAGAGTGTAATTTGTCATCCAAACAGGGATGCTTTTAAAAGTGGAAGGAAGTACCATTAATAAATACTCCAGGACAATGGGTATAAACCAGAACTGCCCTGGGCAAGCCGAAACTTTCAACCATCCTTTCTACAGATCACACTTTGTACATTCTTTTGGTAACCCTTGACGCAATTTTTAAATCTATATTTATCAGTATTTACTTGTTTAATGCTTATTCTCCCAGTAGATTGTAAGAGTTAGGGTTTTGTTCACTATTACAACTACAATGCCTGGTAGTTAGAAACTACTTGATAAATATTTGTGGAAAAAGGAAGGAAAGAATGGAGTAAGATTCTGGGCAGGGGGGCGGGGAAGAGAGGAAGAGACGGAGGGATCCGGGGTCCTGGTCCAGGTCAGCTTGGCTCTGATGTTAGTGCTCTACATCCTTGCTTGGGGAGTAAAGGAGTGGACTTTCAGGAAGAAGGCAGCTCCCACAACTCGCTCAGCATCCAAGCGTCTTTACCAAGGTCCAACCAGGTGATGATCCATCTAGTCACAGCACAAAGAATATCCTAATACCTCTGAAGCTCGGCCTTGCCTGATCTGTATTCTGTAACAGGATCGAGTGCCCAGTTGCCTGGGAGCGAATCAATGACTTCAGATTGATGATGGCAAGTTCACAGGTCACACACCCACTCCATCCTCAGGCAGCTCTAATGGTTAAGAAGTTTTATTTCTCTATTGACCTTACCTCTTGCTTTGGCCTCCACCTGGAAGATGTCTGACTATCCTCCTTCACAACTCTTCAGAGAGAATGGTGGTGGTGGCCTCCTTTCTTCTCTAAGCTATGAAACCCCAATGTCTTCTCCTATTTCTCACAAAGTCGTGTCCCTGTGAGCAAACTCAGTGTGGACATCCCCATTCCCCTTCTTTCTGGAATAGCAGGCCCTCTTCTCTAGGAACAGATTCATCACTACCATCGCACACCCCAAGGTCAACTACATGATTCCAGCGAGGCTGTCCTGTCCTTACATATCCTTGCCTCTTGGGCCAGAGTTGCCCTGCCCAGAGGTGGCCGTGTCCTCCAGTTCCTGCCCACAGGAACTCCAGTCCTTCTTGGAACTGGAACTAGAATATGAGAGTGAGTCACTCTCTAGTGGGGGAACCACTGGACGTGACAGTTGACACAAGCTCCCTAGAGATGCAGGAGGCCAGGCTACAGTCTTCAACTGTATATGAGGCTCTAGGACTCTTCTAAAAACTTCTCTATTCTGTGTAAACTGGTTCAAGTTGTATTTCTTTCGCTTGTAACCCAAGAGCCCTGATAAATGTGCTCCAGTATATTTCCTCCACCCCACGAGATCTCCACAACTGAAGCCAGTATTCATGAGGGGTGGGGAGGCACTTGTCCAAGTCAGAGAAGAGACCAGCAGGCCTAGTCCCTCCCGGGTTTTGACCCTGAATTCCTACTTTGCAGTTTCTAGTGGGCTTTCCCTGTACGACACTGGCCTTTCCCAGATCAAGCCATAAGACCAGCAGCTGCTGAGGGGGTTCAGTTACTCACTGGGTCGTTGTACATCTGAATGATGAGCTGTTTCACCCCATGCAGGGTGGGGTGAGCCCATGGAGAGGGATCCAGCCAGTGACGGTTCAGGTCGAACCCCATCAGAGAGCACCTAGGCAGTACCCAAAGTCAGAATCAGTACAGGAGCAGTCATTATGTCACTTACCTAGCACATGTTTGTTTGTTTGTTTGTTTGTTTGCCAGAGATAGTGCTGAGCATTTTACATGTATTAATTCAGTCACTTTCAACAACCCTATGAGGTCACCATTATTATAATTCCTGCTTTACAGAAGAAGAAACTGAGTCACAGAGAGGTTCAAACATATTTCTGTGGAGCAGTCTCACGTCAGTGCCCATGTCCTGAGACCACAGACGCATGCGCGTCTCCAATACAGGGCCAGAGGAAGGCTCAGGCCAAAACCATCGCTTTCCCCACTGTTCCTCTCTGTCTCACACCCACAGCCAATCCACTGTGTCTACCTTCAAAATATACTCAGAACCCAGCACTTTTTATCACCTCCACTGCTATCACCTTGAGCTTGGACCAAGGTCCGGAGTATTGTAATAATCTCTTACCTGGTCTTGTTTCCACCCTTGCATCATCCTACCCCACCTCTCACCCTACATACCCTCCCCCTTTTCCACACAATACCCAGGGTGATCCTATTAAAACATAAGTCTGATGGTGCCCCTTCTCTGCTCAAATGGTTCTCTGCTAGATGCAGAGTAAGAACCAAAGTCCTTACCACCAGCTACAAGTGCCCATGTGGTCCACCCGTTATCTTCTCTGAATTCAGCTCCTAACACGGTCACTCCTGCTTCTTCTGTGCCAGGTTCTGGCCTCTTACTGTTCCTCCAACAAAGTGAGTGCTTCCAGCCCAGGGGCTCTCGTACAGGCTGTCCCCTCTGCCTGGAAGCCTCTTCCTCTAGGTAGCTGAGTGATTCGTTCTCACTTAGTGCCAGTCTTTGCTCACAGGTCACCTGCTCAGTGAGGGCTACCCTTCCCACCTTCTCCACAATTTCCCATGGGCACATTAGTTACTTCACCAGGGCAAGTGGGACCGTGACCTCTGGTCTCCTCCTATACCTCTTCCTTCCCTTTTTTCCTCCAGATCGACCCAAAGCCTTGCTTGTCCTTGGAAAGATGCACCACCCCCAGGTCTCTGGGCCCACGCTTCCCTCTGCTGGGCCTTTGCACACTGTAGGCTTTCTTCAGGCCAGCCCAGGCTGAGGGGCAACTTCAGAAACCCTGTTCTTGTGCACAACTCAAATCACTGCATCCATCCTCTTCCTGTCCCCAGAACATCTCCCACACAGATCTGACAATCTTGCCTTCTTGATCAAGATTCAGCTATGGGGGCTTCCCTGGTGGCGCAGTGGTTGAGAGTCCGCCTGCCGATTCAGAGGACATGGGTTCGTGCCCCGGTCCGGGAGGATCCCACATGCCGCGGAGCCGGCTGGGCCCGTGAGCCATGGCCGCTGAGCCTGCGCGTCCGGAGCCTGTGCTCCGCAACAGGAGAGGCCACAACAGTGAGAGGCCCGCGTACCGC